ATTGATTTTGTATCCTGCCACACTGTTGAATTGCTGTATGAGTTCTAGTAATTTGGAGGTGGAGTCTTTTTGGTTTTCCATATAAAGTATCATGTCATCTGTGAAGAGGGAGAGTTTGACTTCTTCTTTGCCAATTTGGATGCCTTATATTTCTTTTTGTTGTCTGATTGCAGAAGCAATCCAAATCTCGCAAATGCCTTCCAAATCTGAACAGCTGTATGCACAAATCACGTGAGAACTCATGCAAACCACAAGTGAATTCTACACAAATCTCAGGAGAGCTCAGTCCAAATGTCATGAAAACTCAGTCCAAATCACATGAGATTTGTAGGAAAAATCTCATGACATCTCATCTGAATCTCACCATGCAGTTCAAATCTCATGAATTCTCAGTCCAAATCTCGTGAGATTTGATTCCAAATCTTGTGAGATCTCAGTCCAAATCTCTTCAGTTCTCACTCCAAATCTCATGAGATTTCATTCCAAATCTCATGAGATATGCAAATCTTGCCAATCAATTAAAATCTCATGAATTCTCAGTCCAAATCTCGTGAGATCTCATCCAAATCTTGCCAATCAGTTCGAATCTCGTGAGAGACCAGTGCAAGTCTCGTGAGATTTGAATCCAAATCTCGTGAGATCTCAGTCCAAATCTCCTGACAATTCAGTCCAAATCTCATGAGATTTGTAGGGAAATCTCGTGAGATCTCATCTGAATCTCACCAATCAGTTCAAATCTCATGAGATTGGACTCCAAATCTCATGAGATCTCAGTCCAAACCTCTTGAGTTCTCACTCCAAGTCTCATGACATTTCACTCCAAATCTCATGAGATCTCAGTCCAAATCTTGAGATTTCTCATCCAAACCTCGCCAACCAGTTCAAACCTCATGAGATCTCATCCAAATCTTGCCAGTCCAAATCTTGCAAGATCTCAGTCCAAATCTCATGAGATCTCATCCACATCTCACCAATCTGTTCAAATCTCATGAGATCTCACTCCAAATACCGTGAGACTTGACTCCAAATCTCTTGAGATCTCAGTCCAAATCTCAAGAGTTCTCACTCCAAATCTCATGAGATTTCACTCCAAATATTGTGAGATCTCCATCCAATCTCGAGAAAACTTAGTCCAAATCTTGTGAGATTTGTAGGAAAATCTCATGAGATCTCATCCAAATGTCACCAGTTTAAATCTTGTGAGATCTCAGTCCAAATCTCATGAGATTTGACTCCAAATCTCAGGGGATCTCAGTCCAAATCTTGTGAGTTCTAAATCCACATCTTATGAGATCTCAGTCCAAATCTCATGAGATCTCATCCAAATGTCTCCACAATCAGTTCAAATCTCCTGAATTCTCAGTCCAAATCTCGTGAGATCTCAGTCCAAATCTCTGAGTTCTCACTCAAAATTTCATGAGATTTCACTCCAAATCTCATGAGCTCTCAGTGCAAATCTCATAAGATCTCATCCAAATCTCACCAGTCAGTCCAAATCTCATGAGATCTCACCCAAATCTCACCAATTAATTCAAATCTCGTGAGATCTCAGTCCAAATATTGTGAGTTCTATTGCCAAAACTCACGAGATTTTATGTGAAATATCATGAGCTCTCAGTCCAAATCTAGTAACAACTCAGTCCAAATGTCGTGAGATTTGTAGAAAAATCTCTGGAGATTTCATATGAATCACACCAATCAGTTCCAATCGAATCGCATGAGTTCTCAGTACAAATCTCGTGAGATTTCATTCCAAATATCATGAGATTTGACTCCAAATCTCGAGAGATCTCAGTCCAAATCTCTTGAGTTCTCACTGCAAATCTCATGAGATTTCATTCCAAATCTCATGATATTCACTACAAATCTCATGAGATCTCAGTCCAAATCTCATGAAAACTGATCCAAACCTCAACAGTCAGTCCAAACCTTGTGAGATTTCAGTCCAAATCTTGCCAATCAGTTCAAATCTCCTGAGATCTCAGTCCCAATCTCGTGAGAGTTGACTCCAAATCTCGTGAGATCTTCATCCAAATCTCGTGAGTTTTCACTCCAATCTCAAGAGAGCTCAGTTCAAATCTCGTGACAACTCAGTCCAAATCTCGTGAGAGTTGTAAGCAAATCTCGCGAGATCTCATCCAAATCACGCCACACAGTTCAAATCGCGTGAGAACTCAATCCAAATCTCATGAGACTACCGTCCAAATCTTGTGAGGTTTCGCTCCAAATTTCGTGAGATCTCAGTCGAAATCTCGTGACAACTCAGGGCAAACCTCGTGAGAAGAGTACAGGCCAAACCTCGTGAGAAGAGTAAGCAAATCTTGTGAGCGTGCGTGCAAATATCGTGAGCTCTCATCCAAATCTCGCCAATCAGTTCAAATCTCGTAAGAGACCAGTCTAAATCTCGTGAGCTTTGACTCCAAATTTCATGAGAGCTCTGTCAAAATCTCGTGAGTTTTCACTCCAAATCTCATGAGATCTCAGTCCCAATCTCGTGACAAAGTCCAAATCTTGTGAGAGTTGTAAGCAAATCTCGTGAGCTCTCATCCAAATCTCGCCACACAGTTCAAATCGAGTGAGATCTCGGTCCAAGTCTCGTGAGAGGTGCCTACAAATCTCGTGATATCTCAGTACATATGTCGTGAGTTTTCACTCCAATTCTGGTGAGATCGCAGTCAAAATCTTGTGACAACTCGGGCCAAACCTTGTGAGAGTTGTAAGCAAATCTCATGAGATCTCATCCAAATCTCGCCAATCAGTGAAGTCTGAGATCTCAGCCCAAGTCTCGTGAGATTTGACTGCAAATCATACGAGATCTTTTGAAATCTCTTGAGTCTTCACTCCAAATCTCGTGAGATCTCAGCGCCAGTCTCGTGAGATCTCATCCAAATCTCGCCAGTTCATCTCGTGAGAGACCAGTCCAAATCTCATAAGAGCTCTGTCGAAATCTCATGAGTTTCCACTCCAAATCTCATGAGATCTCAGTGCCAATCTCGTGACAACTCAGTCCAAATCTCCTGAGAGTTGTAAGCAAATCTCATGAGATCTCGCCCAAATCTCACCAGTCAAGTCTCATGAGATCTCAGTCCAAGTCAGGTGAGATAGGACTCCAAATCACATGAGATCTCTTTCAAAATCTCGTGAGTCTTCACTCCAATTCTCATGAGATCTCAGCCCAAATCTCATGACTACTCAGTCCAAATCTCATTGGATTTGTGGGAAAATCTCTTGAGATCTCAGTCCAAATCTCATGAGATCTCATTCAAATCTCGGCAATCAGTTTAAATTTCTTGAGGGCTCAGTCCAAATCTCATGAGTTCGCACTCCAAATCTTCTGAGATCTCAGTCCAAAACATGAGATCTCATGCAAATCTTGCCAATCAGTTCACATTTCCTGAGACCTCAGTCCAAAATCTCTTGAGAGCTCATCCAAATCTCGCTAATCAGTCCAAATCTCATGAGGTTCACTCCAAGTCTCAAGAGATTTCACTCCAAATCTCGTGAGATCTGTCAAAATCTCGTGAGAACTCAGTGGCAATCTCGTGAGTTCTCACTCTAAATCTCATGAGATTTCACTCCAAATCTCATGAGATCTCAGTCCAAATCTCGTGAGATCTCATCCAAATCTCGCCAATCAGTTTAAATCTCGTGTCATCTCAGTCCAAATATTGTGAGATCTCAGTCCAAATCTCATGAGATTTCACTCCAAAAATCATGAGATCTCAGTCCAAATCTCATGACTACTCAGTCCAAATTTCGTTGGATTTGTAGGAAAATCTCATCTGGATCTTGCCAATCAGTTCAAATCTCGTGAGATCTCAGTCCAAATCTCACGAGTTCTCATTCCAAATCTTGTGAGAACTCAGTCCAAATCTCCTATGATCTCTTTCAAATCTTGCCAAACGCCCTCCAGAAAGGGCAGCAGTCTCTCCCTGAGAGACCCAAAGGATCTCCTCACCTCAGCTTATTGTGTGGTCACAACCCTCTGCACCCTTTCCAACTTGCTCCTTCTTCCTGACTTTGTTCTGTGAGCCGGGCTTCCTACCTGTCTGGCCTACATGGCTTCCCAATCCTCCAACACAGGGCTCTGAACCTCACCTCTGCCTCCAGCTGTGCCGATTGATTCCTTCCCTCCCTCCCTCCCTCCAACTATGCAGATTGTTTCCTTACTCCTCCAGTCCTCTTCCTAATTGTTCAAAAGAGTTGAATGTTGATCTAGTTGTATTCGAAGGACACTGCAAGTTCTGGATCCCCCTACTACTCTGCCGACTTGGAAACGTAACACACACACAAACTTGTGTCTTAACGAAAGGAAGCTGTTACTTTAGGGACACTTTAAACACAACGTATTGTCTAGGAGTTTCCCTACTCTGTATACACATAAGTTTAAATACACTTGCATCTGAATGAAGAAGATGTTACTTGATGGATGATTTAAGTAGTGCAGTTTCAAGTAGATAAGCACATGCCTTTTCCTAATGCTTCTTTCTACACATAATTAAAAAAAAAACTATATATTCATGAAAGGAAGATGTTCCTTGACAAGTGGTTTAAACACAGTGTTGTTATGAGGAGTTCAACAAATGGCTTTTAGTCGTCTCATCCACATAAGATAAAACACTTATATCCCAAGGAAAAGAAGATGTTGCTTGGAGAATGGATATAAAACAGTGTAGTTTCGAGAATGTATGCACAATGCCATTTCATTGTGTTAAAACTACACGTGTGAAAACACTTCTTAACTTTATGAAACTCTGATGTTTCTTGAAGAGTTTTAAACACATTATACTTTCAAGGAATGAAGTATAAGGCCAATTTCTATGGATTATACACATAAGTTTATGAACATATATGTGAAAAGGAAAGTTGTTACTTAACCGATGCTTTAAGCACAGAGTAGTTCAAGAAGTTAGGCACTTTTTTTTTCTCTTTTTTTTGCTAACGTGTCTTCACACAATACTCAAATAAAAAGTTGTTAATTCGCCGCTTCCTCCTGCGAAGACGTAGCTGCGGGTGGTTGTGGTGGCGGCGTCCAAGATGTCGACGAAGAATTTCCGAGTCAGTGACGGTGACTGGATTTGCCCTGACAAAAAATGTGGAAATGTAAACTTTGCCAGAAGATCTAGCTGTAATAGATGTGGTCGGGAGAAAACAACTGCGGCTAAGATGATGAAAGCTGGGGCTACTGGAATAGGGAAGACGCTTGCAGACAAGAGCCGAGGCCTTTTTAGTGCTAATGACTGGCAGTGCAAAACATGCAGTAATGTGAATTGGGCCAGAAGATCAGAGTGTAACAGGTGTAATACTCCAAAGTATGCTAAGTTAGAAGAAAGAACGGGCTATGGTGGTGGTTTTAATGAAAGAGAAAATGTTGAATATATAGAAAGAGAAGAATCTGATGGTGAATATGATGAGTTTGGACGTAAAAAGAAAAAATACAGAGGGAAGGCAGTTGGTCCTGCATCTATTTTAAAGGAAGTTGAAGATAAAGAATCTGAGGGAGAAGAAGAGGATGAGGATGAAGATCTTTCTAAATATAAATTAGATGAGGATGAGGATGAAGATGGTGCTGATCTCTCAAAATATAATCTTGATGCCAGTGAAGAAGAAGATAGTAATAAAAAGAAATCTAATAGACGAAGTCGCTCAAAGTCTCGATCTTCACATTCACGATCTTCATCACGCTCATCCTCCCCCTCAAGTTCAAGGTCTAGGTCCAGGTCCCGTTCAAGAAGTTCTTCCAGTTCGCAGTCAAGATCTCGTTCCAGTGCCAGAGAACGTTCGAGATCTCGTGGGTCGAAATCAAGATCCAGCTCCAGGTCCCACAGGGGCTCTTCTTCCCCACGAAAAAGATCTTATTCAAGTTCATCATCATCTCCTGAGAGGAACAGAAAGAGAAGTCGTTCTAGATCTTCTTCATCTGGTGATCGCAAAAAAAGACGAACAAGATCGCGGTCACCCGAAAGGCACCACAGGTCATCTTCTGGATCATCCCATTCTGGTTCCCGTTCAAGTTCAAAAAAGAAATAATGTATTAAAATTTACATCTTAAAACAAAATCAGTACAGTGCATGAAGCATATTTTTTAAGAAGTTGGTGTCTTACTTGGTCAGAAGTGCTAAATCTGCTAGTAGAGGTGCATGCCTTTCATTGCTTCTCAGAACAACACAGCTGTGTTTATTTGTGAAATTAGAAGTGAATAGTATTTTAAGCCATAATGTCCCAAAATATATGCTCTATCATTCATTATTTACAACCATTTGCCTCACTTAAAACCATTTCAGCTATGACAAAGTACTTTGTTTCCTAATTTGAACGCTTGTTTTTTTTTTCATTTCCGAATATGAACTGTCTATTGACTGAAGACAGGATAACCTAGGCTTGCCTGACCTTTGGGCATGGAGGCAAGACTGTGGTAAAGTAGTCGGAAACAACCTGTTTATGTTATTCTGGGAAAAGGAGTCCACCTGTTTATGTTAATCTGTGTCAAAGTGATTCTTAATCAGAAAAGGTAAAACTAGTTGAAAAAGCCAACTGGAAACTTTTATTTTGAAATTCCCTATGCTGAGGGTGCCTTAGAATCTTTGTCTCTCTCTCTTACTCAGTTTTGCTTTCTGTACCACCACGTTTAATGAAGAAAAATCTTGTGAATTGCAGAAGGAAAGAGGTGTTACTCATTTCTCCTTGCCTGACACATGATTTTGAGCAAAAACGTAAAACCAGTTCCTTCACTGGTATTACTGATGAGAAAAACATCTATTTCAAGATGTTTATCTTAATATTTTTAAGAAGCTTTATGTGATATCCTTTAAAAACCCAGTTATCACATATGGTAGTGCAGACAAAGTTAAATCATAGTTAATGAGGAACAAAGAAAGCTTCAGAAGTATATTTCTCTGGTTGAAAGACCAACAGAGATGTGAATTTAAGTGAACATTTATTTGCCTTGAGATGTCCAAACACTGCATAAAATTTTCTTTTGAGTAACAAATGAATGCTTATTTCTGCATGACACGCAGAAAATACTTATTGTTCCTATTCACTTGAAATTACTTACGGCTTAAAATACTTTCAGAGTTTGTTTTATTTCTCAAAATTAAAATCTGGTCACCTGAGCTCCATTATGTCCTCTGGCTTAAAAACAGAAAGGTTTCTCTTAGCAGTATCTTCAGTGACAATGCAAGGTAAGTATATTAGGGAAATCGACAGTGTGCTGGGGACTTTTTGTCATGGGGGTCAGTACCCACTTTTGGGGTTTTTTTTCTTTAATTTTAAGTTATTGTCTACTGCAATTAAAAATTTAAAAGTTTTAAGGTGTTCAGTAGACCAAACAAAATTATTTGTTTATTTTAAAATGAGTGATTTTTCTCTTCAACTTAACCTAAAGATGAAAGCAAAATACCTTATGTAGAAGTATTTTGATAATATTTTTACAAAGAACTTCCCCTTGTTTTTTTGTGTCTTAATTTTCTTCGCTACGTTTACCGTAGGTTGCACAAGAACCTTTACTCTCTTGTAATTGTGCCTCAGACTTCTTGAAAGTCCACCTTCTAAATTGCCCAGATGGTCTTCTAGAGTCTACATGTTACCATTGGTTTATTCTTGTGCTTTCTGTATTTGAAACTTTGGCTGTACTAAGCAAATGCAAGGTTATAAATTTAGCTAATAGTTTACAGACAATTCAGATGATTATGATTTCATTTGGTTTAAGCTGTACTGGCTCGTTTCATGAGGAAATGATGCTGTAGACAAATGTAAATAAAGCTGTGAGTCAAGCATCAAAAAAAAAAGTTGTTAATTCATGGGCACTTTAAGCTGAGTGTAGTTTCAGGGAGGTAAACATGGATTTTTCCTAGTTATTCTACACATTATATCACCTGTATCACATTACAACACTCATGTCTTAAAGAAGGGAATATGTTACTTGACACATGGTTTTAAGCTCAGTGCAGTTTCAACTAGACACAAAGGCTAGGACTTCCAGGACTATGTTAAATAACATATAAAAGAATGAAACTCGACTCTTTCTTACACCGTACACAAAAAAATAAATTCCAAATGGATGAACGAGCTAAATGTGAGACAGGGATCCATCAAAATCCTAGAGGAGAACAGAGGCAGCAACTTCTTTGACCTAGGCCACAGCAATTTCTTTCTAGACACAGCTCCAAGGCCAGGGAAACAAAAGCAGAAATGACCTAGAGGGACTTCGTGAGGATACAAAGCTTTGGCACAGCAAAGGAAACAGTCACCCGTAATTAAAGGGCAACCCACAGGTTGGAAGAAGATATCTGCAAAAGACTTACCAGATAAAGGGCTAGTATCCAAACCCCGTAAAGAACTTATCAAACTCAACACCCAAAGACCAAAAACTCCAGGCAAGAAATGGGCAGAAGACATGAACAGACATGTCTCCAAAGAAGACATAAAAATGGCTAACAGACACATGAAAAATTGCTCAACATCACGTGGCATCAGGGAGCTACAAATTATAATCACAATGAGATACCACCTCACACCACTCAGAATGGCTAAAATGAACAACTCAGGAAACAACAGCTGTTGGCAAGGATGCAGAGAGAGGGGTACTCTCCTACAGTGGTTGCTGGGAATGCAAACTGGTGCAGCCACCCTGGAGAACATTATAGAGGTCCCTCAAAAAAACATAAAAATACAACTAGCCTACGACACACTGATTGCATGACTAGGTATTTATCTGAAAGATACAAAAGTGCTGATTCAAAGAGGCACATGTACCCCAGTGCTTAGAACAGGAATGTCCACAGTAGCCAAATGATGGAAAGAGCCCAGATGTCCATCAACAGATGAATGGATAAAGTTGTGACACACACACACACACACATTGGACTATGTCTCAGCCATCAAAAAAAATGACATCTTGACATTTTATGCTAAGCAAAATAAGCCAGTCAGAGAAAGACAAATACGTAAGATTTCACTAATAGGTGTAATTTAAGAAACAAAACAGATGAACATGGGGGAAGGGAGTGAAAAATAAAATAAGATGAAAGCAGTGAGGCAAACAAGAGAACCGTAGGACACCAAGTGAGGGCTTGCTGGAAGGGAAGCGGGTGGGTGATGGGAGAATTGGGTGATGGGCACTAAGGAGGGCACTTGTAGTGAGTGCTGGGTGTTATATGCAACTGATGAATCACTAAATTCTACCCCTAAAACTGAACTAAATGACTAAACTGAAATCTTAGAGAAGAACACAGGCGGTAGTTTCTTTGTACGAAAATCTTAATAAGTATGTCTCCTGAGGTAAGGGAAACAGATTAAAAATAAAGTATTTGGGCTTCATCACAAGGAAAACTTCTGCACATCGAAGGAGACAATCAACAGAACTAAAAGGCAACCTTCAGGCTAGGAGAAGATATTTGCAGATGACCTATCTAGTAAAGGGTAGGATCCAAAATACATAAAGAACTTAAAAAATGAACACTCAAACAAAACAAAACAAAACCCCAAGTAATCCAGTTTAGAAAATGGGCAAAATAGCACAAAAAGACTTCTTTCCAAAGAAGACATGCAGATGGCCAAGAGACCCATGAAAAGATGCTCGACATCACTCATCATCAGAGAACTACAAATCAAAAGTACAAGGGGATATCACCTCTCTCCAGTCAGAATGGCTAAAACTAACAACACAAGAAACAACAGGTGTTGGCGAGGATGCGGAGAAAGGGGAACACGTTTACATTGTTGGCGGGAATACAAACTGGTGCAGCCATACTGGAAGCCAGTATGGACATTTCTCAAACAGTTAAAAACCAAAGTACCCTATGACTCAGCAATTGCACCTCTAGGTTCTTACCCAATGGATATAAAAATATAGACTCAAAGGGGCACATGTACCCCGATGTTTATTGCAGGCTTATCAACAATAGCCAAACTATAGAAAGAGCTCAACTGTCCATCAATTGAGGAATGGATAAAAGAGTTGTGACATACACAGACATGTATATATAGTTGTGACATATGGAGCTAGAGTATTGTGCTAATGAAATAAGAGTCAGGGAAAGACAAATAATACATGACTTCACTGAGATGCAGAATTTAAGAAATAAAAGAGATGAACACGTGGGAAGGGAAAAAAAAGAGAGGAAAACAAAGCAAACCATGGGACATTCAACAATAGAGAACAAACAGGGTAGATGGAGGGAGCTAGGTGGGGGGTGGTCTAAACGGGTGATGGGTGGGCACTTGTCACGATGGGTAGGGAGCGTTATAGGTAAGTGAAGAATCACTAAATACTACTCCTGAAACGAATATTACATTAAGTGTTAACTAATTAGAATTTAAATAAAAATCTAAATAAACAACCAAAAAGAAACTCGGGAGCCTGGTCATGTTTTTGTGAGCATGGGACAGGGTAGGCCACAAGACCGCTTGTAATTTGGCTTCAGCACTATCTTGACATCATGAGGATTTAGGGCATTTGACACTGCCCAGCAGAGAATGTTTGTGTGGAGGCGGGGCCATCCCTTTTGGGAAAAGAGCTGGCTTCATCTCTGGGGCAATGGACATGAAGACATCTCCCCGATATTTCCCATTCTTCTTTGAAATGTAGAACTTAACTCTTTTTGTAGTCATTCCCATACTGTTGCATAATTTGTAATTATTTATTTGTAATTCTAATGGTTCCCATCCATCCAGGGGTGGATGAGGCTCCCATAGAGCCAGCACCCAAGGATTGGTGTCAAGTTCCCACACTGATCCAATGGTAAGAGAGAGCAATCACTGTCTGATATCCCAAAAGAACAATGGCATTCGTGTTCCTGAGCACTTGCTTGGCGTAAGCATATTGTTCAATAACCAGTTGCTTCCCTCCCCTGGCTGATCCAGAGGCCTTCATTATGAAGAGCAGATAAGCCATGCATGTACAATATGCTCCAGGACCTGGGCAGTACAGAAAATGCCCTTTCAAGGCATACTGCACCAAGGTCCCATTCTAAACACTTGAGCATCAGTGGCAAGCACCCACATGGTATGGTTGAACCCCTGCTGTCTCGATCCACCAGTGAGATGGGTAG